TTAATTGTCAATTCAAACACTCTTTAATTATAAAGAAGGTAATGTTTTCTTTTCAACAGTTACAATTTTGATATCAAGGATTCAAAATCCAATCATTGAGTTAAAGATATAATTACAACGTAATCCATAATCATTAGATTAAAAAAATTAGGTGCAATAGTAAAGGCAGTGTTTATTCATGAGAAAAAATATATATAAATAATATATACATTATATATAATATAAAAGCATTATATAAAATTGTGCAGATAAATTTAGTAGTGCGACTAGTATACTGGCCTAGGCCTCATTCCTGAGGTGGTCAGTGGTCACGACTCACGAGGGTAGAAGAAGACGACGGTGATGAATTTATGGTCGACGTCGTTTACTGGAATCCGGTCCCATTTATGGAATGGAATCTTTTGGTGGTGAATCAGTGAATGGGTGGTACAGAGGAATTCTAACAAAGAAAGTTAAACTGTACCGTATAGTGTTGACTTTAATTGATTAAAAATTTAAAAAATTAAAATTAAAATTTTTATATTTTAATTAATAAAAAATATGAAATTTTAATTTTAAAATTTGTTTATGGGTAAAAGAAATTAATCGATAGGGGAGGTACAGTTCATCGTTTGATATAATAATAATAATAATAAAGTCAAATTGCAAGAAGGTTTTTCTTTTTTTTTTTTTTTGGAAAAACAAGAAGTTGCTTTCATTGGCTTATTCGGATAAAAAAATAAGTCATCAAATCACCATCACAACAGTGATGGGTATTTCTTGTTGGAATTAATGTACTGTGTTTGTGTGGATTCTACCTCTACCACCATTGTTCATGCCTTGCATGTATAAACTGAAAAAAGCTAAAATAATTTAATTTGTGACCTTTATTTGGTAAATTAAATATGCAAATTTCCTGTCATCAAAACCTGTGACTTTTTACGGGTGTGTCTGGTTGCTCGAGGGAAAAGTTTTTAGAACAAAAAATTCCCTCATCTGCCAAAAATGGGGTAAAAATATTTTCACAGTTTGTTTGTAATAGTATTGTAATTACTAATTGCCTTCCAAATTTCGTGTGAAAGTTGGGGAAATTCTTTC